AAGGAAAAAGACGTTGAGGCTGTTTAGACAGAACAGTATTAATAGCGGCAAACCAAACTGTGAGTCTTTGATCAATTAAATTAAACTATTATTTATCTTCCCTGAATGCTCAAAACTGAGCCTAAACTACAACTTTATTCATGTAAATATATATAATTTATATTCTCATAGGCTCAAAAGTTACACTTTAAAATAACATTAGTTCGTAAAGCATTAAGAATGATCAAAACAGTAACAATTTTTAATGATATTTATATATCGCTGGTTCTTCAGTCAGTTTAGTTACTGTTTATCTGTGTTTTTATTGTGATAATTTGCTGTTTTAGCTATAAAATAAATGCTATAACGGGATGTTTGTGTTTTTCTCAGTTTCTCCTGTAGCAGCACTTCATTATAATTCAGACAGAATGACAGATCAGGTGAAATTTTTAACACTGTATTTGGTACACAAATATGTCATATTGATCACTGATACAGTCCTGAGAGTGTTTATTTTCTCCTTTCAGAAACGGATCATTTTACCAAACCAGCAGAAAGACAATTTTCTGAAAAAAATGTTTTCAGAAAAAATTAAAAACTTCAAAATAATTTTCAAAACTCAAAAGTATCCAAATTCTGTTTCAGCATATACTTAAATTATAAAGACTGTATTATGGTGTATTAGATTTGGATTCTATTAAACAGTATATAATTTATTTTAAAATATAATCTGAATGGGACTATGCTGTTTGTTTATTGTATGCCACAAATGGTTTATGATAAATGTTAAACATTAATGTTAAACTGTCACGGTTCTAGTATGACCAATTTTCAATGTAGTATCATTACAAATAACATAAATTAAATTTATTAAAGGTCATTTTGTTGTTGCAAATGCACAATTCACAGAAAGAAATGAAAGCTTTAAAAACATGAAAAATAAAAACAAGCTGAAAACTGCCTGCCTGTGTGTTCATTGACATTACGTTTAAATTAATAAAAATCAGCAAGATAGAGGTGTGCTTTTAATTCAACATCATCAGGGGGAAATATGAGAATGATAATTAAAATATGATGAAAAATGATAATAATTAATATATAAAAAAAGAGTAAACAACGATGATGAAAAATTATCATAATTAATATCTAAAAAAATTAAACCAAGAATATTAAAAACGATCATAATTAACGATAAAAAAGATGAAAATGTTAATAATGCAATAATTATTTATAACAATAAAAACAAATTGTTTATTTTTAAATACAATAACTGCTTTTAAAGCCCCTTGTTTGTTTTTTCCGTTTTTATTTACATTTTCCTACAGGAACTATTAGAGAAATGTTAATGCAGAGATTCACAAAAACTATTGAATATTCCAGTAATTTACAGAAAACCTCCTCCATTTATATTTTGATGAACAGTCCGATAGTTTGAGAACCTCACACAGGCCATCTTCTGTATTACAGCACATTAAATACAGGCGCATGACAGTGTGTGATATAAATCTGCTCTCAATATCTTATTAAAGACAATATAGAACAAATATATAATACAATGTATTTAAGACTCCCTGTAAATTTACACCAAGACAAATTAGGTGATTTCCCAAACATAACTTTACTTTCCTTACAAGCTTTTGCCTATACATAATTTTAGCAGCCTATATTTTGTTTATTTTATTTATTAAACAGCAAGCAACATAATCAACATTCCCCTAGAACGTAAATGTTAAAAAAAAAACTTTAAAATTATATACTTTAATTAATTAAAAGATGCACATTTGCTAACAGATTGTGGTATCATCGACGTCCACTAATGTGATGCTTTAAAAGAAAAATAAGATTGTCTAAAAAAAGCTTTTCTAATCTGAATGATGCAATCAGCTGCATCATGGTGTACATTTTGTTCTTGCCTGGAATTGTTCATATATGTTTACATACTGTTACATTGCTTCAAAAAAGATATATATTTTATTTTATTGATATTTTATTTTATTTAAATATACACACACACACAGATTATGGCTGCACAATATATTGTTTCAGCATTAATTTGCAATGTGTGCATCCGCAATAGTAACATTGCAAAGATATTCAAAGTTGAGTCTGGATTATAGTTGAACAGGAGCTACAAATCTTTTTTTAATTATTGCACTTACAAAGAATTTACATGACTTATGCTAAAATATATATATTATCATAATTCTAATAATTTTTGTCTTGTTTCTGGTCCAAATATCTACATTTCAAAGGAAAAACAAGATAATTTCACTTTTTCCACTGGAAGATAGTTGTGTTTGTTTTAGGGGAAAAACTCATATCTTTACCTTATTTCTTTTGAATTTAAAAACAAAACAATGATTTTACTTGAACACAGAATTATACTACACTGAAGCAATTTATTTACTGGATTTACAAAATGCTTGTTGTAAACAGTTTATATGGGCTGAATTTAAACAAATTAAATTCATTTATTTTTAATTTGCAATTAACTATTTTTTTCAGTGCAGAAATGAGACAGTGAAAAAAAGCTACTGAGATTGCGTTGTGATTAATTTTCAGTGAAGTGTCGCTCTCTACAGGTAATTGTCGGTATCACACCATCACAGAAAGTTCAGCCAAAATTGACGTTTCTGTTATTATTTTTTTACTTTCCTTTCACTGGTTACAAAGTTTCAGCTTTCTTTAAAATAACTTTAGTGTTCAAAGAAAGAAAGAAAGAAAGAAAGAAAGAAAGAAAGAAAGAAGGAAAGAAAGAAAAAAAGAAAGAAAGAAAGAAAGAAAGAGTAAATAATGAGTACATTTTAATTTTATTGATGAACTGTCCCTTTATTGCACAACACTGAACTCTGAACGAAACTCATTTGTGTTTATTTAGCAGAACAACAACAGAACATTCAGTCCCTTTATTAATCTGGGGTTGCAAAAGCGGAATAAACCGCCAAAACTATTCCAGCATATGTTTTAGGCAGCAGATGCCCTTCCATCTGCAACCCCATCACTAGGAAACACCCATACACACTCATACACTACAGAAAACTTAGTTTACCCAATTTCCCTATAGCACATGTTTGGACTGTGGGGGAAACCGGAGCACCCGGAGGAAACCCACGCCAACATAGGGAGAACATGCAAACTCCACACAGAAATGCCAACTGAGCCAGCTGGGACTCGAACCAGTGAATTCTTGCTATGAGGCAACAGAATACTCACTGCACCACCGCATCGTCCACAACAGAACATATCGAAGACAAAAATTTCCAAGAAAACAAAAATATATCTAAGGTAAGGTCAGAAGTAAATGGCTTGGATTAGTTTTCTTGCTAACAGTCTTTCCTTCTGTGCTGACCGTTCAAAAAGCAGCAATTATTGTAATATGGAGAAAAGACAGTGTGAATAGGTGACTGCTTTCAAATCACTGCTTCATAAAACTCCAAAAAATGCAGTACTTACAAAGAAAACAGACCTAACATGGCAATTTTGCAAGGGTATACAGTTCACCAGAAACACTTTAACTGGGTTACTGAGAATTAAAGGTCCGCATATACCCTACTGTTCCTGTGGGTTAACCGTCCCCTTGTTTGTGGTCCGTTGCAACCTTTGACTTTGTCTGTTGTATTATAGGTGGGGTTTGGGTGTTCTATTTTGACTGCTATGCCATCATAAATAGTAAAAATTTTCTGACTGAGAAAAGTTGAATGTGCTGGTCAGTTTGTTATTTGCCTTAAAAATTAGTTTTTAGTTGAAAACATTTTTCTAACAATATAAGATCTAATAAATTTGTATTTTAAAAATAAATATTTGTCATTTTCTTTATTCTAAATCAGGGGTTTTCAAAGTGTGAGGCGCGCCTCCCCTGGTGGACGCCAGAGCATGTCAGGGGAGGCGCGGGAAAAAAATATTATATAATAAAAATATAATTATTAAGTTTAATTATTATATGTATTTTTAAATATTTTTTAAATTTTTAATTAAACAAAGCTAAAAAATTATGCGTCAAATATAAGAAAACCTTTTTTACCCAGAAGGCCATAGCTGTGAATTCGCTTCTGTTTGGCAAACCCGCCAATACAGGTATATGCCTGCTAACACAATGGGTCGGTTTCTGAGACCCCCCGATTCAAAGCCTTCAAGTTCAGGGCTTAAACCCAAAAGACGACGATATGATGATCAGTATTTGAGTTTAGGATTTACGTGGACAGAACCAGCTGATGAACCACGACCTTTATGTGTGTTTTGTCAAGATATTTTGGCTAATGACAGCATGAGACCCACTAAACTTCGGTGGCACCTTGAAACCAAGCATGATGAGGTAGCAGGAAAACCTCTAGAATTTTGTGTGTGTGCGTGTGTGTGAGTGTGTTTGAGAGGAGGGGGCGCCAATGGATAAGTTGTGTCAAAAGGGAGGCCCACTGTCTTAGACTTTGAAAACTCATTAAAATGTCACACAATGCAGTATTTAAATATCATAATTAAATAGAAAATGAGGCAAATAACACAAAAAAACACCCACGTTTGGAAAAGAAAAAACCACCCTTTGCACCAGGCTGGATACGGGCCTGATATATTATCACATGTACACCAGTGGTGTAGTCGAGGCTATACGCATGTATACTCCGTATGCCTACTTTTCATGAGCTGTTTGGGTATAAAACTACTTCTGGGTACTTCAGAGGATCAGTAATTACGTATACCCCTGGTATACTCACTTTTTTTGCTGATTAAACTTCCCTAATTTAAGTGTATTTACGTCCCCTTTAACTATATAATAATAATAATTTTTTTTTTTTTTTACAAGTCCCCTAGAGTTAAACAGTTGGGTTTTACCACAGCTTAACATATTCAATCTCCGGGTCTGCTGGGGGCACTATTACTTAAGCATAAATCATTGAAAAGGATAAAATTATTAGGATCTCGCTTTAAAAATAACACTTTTTTTTTTTTTTTTTTACATTTTTCCTTTTTAAATAGATAGTTCACCTAAAAAAATGAAAATTGTCATTAATTACTCAACCTTAACTTGTTGCAAACGAGTTTTTATTTTTTATTCTGTTGAACACAAAGGAAGAAAGATTATTTTGAAGAAGCTGGAAACCTGTAACCATTGACTTACATAGATTTTTTCCTTCTTTGGAATCAGTAGTTACTGGTAACTTATGTTAAATAAGCTAATATAGCAAATGAATCAAAGAAACATTGACTTTCGTCGTTTCTTTGCCTACTTTTAAAATTGGGTTGGGTAGGAGTACACCACCTTTTTCCACACCACTGATGTACACATATTATAGCAATGTGGCTAGGTGTCTGATAGATGTGGGTTTATTGTATTAAAACGTAGTGGAGGAGAAAAAAATTGAAAAATTGGCTGGGTGAAAAAAATAATAATAATGGGCGAAAAAAAATGGATGGGAGGAAAATATATATTTCTAAGTTTTTGCGTTCCCTCGCAAAGATGTTTTGCGTTCTCTCACAAAAATGTTTCTCCACAAACACTTCCTGTTCACTTCACTTATGTAAACCCTCCCGTTTTTTTTTTGCCGAAATTCTCCCGTATTTTACCATTCTATCCCACTTTCTTTACATTACTGTGCATCGATCGTCGCCTTTCATATGCTACCTCTGAAAATGCATGTATAAGCGCTGACTGACAGACGCGCTCCAGGTGTACAGTATGTAAACAGACAAATACACTGAATAATATGCAAACATCTCCGTCCTGCATGTTTTATTTTAAACAGCTAACTTCTCTTAAATGAGCACAAACACTTCCTAAAGTAATGGAATGCTTGCATTATTGATCTCTGCATTCTTACAGAAACACCTCTGATATCAAACTAAACAAAATATGAGATTCGTTGCTGCTCACTTGTTTGATAACAGAAGTGTCCCTTTAAATGGCGCGTACAGACATTGGTACAGACGCCGATCTGGGATCATTTTATTGTATGGAGCGCGTCTGT